TCTAAATATGTCATTACCGTGCGGGTCTCTACTATTTAACTGTGACCACAGTTTCTGGATATATATATATATATATATATATATATATATATATATATATATATATATCTCTCTCTCTCTCTCTCTCTCTCCTCCTCCTCTCTCTCTCCTCTCTCTCTCTCTCTCTCCTCCTCTCTCTCTCTCCTCTCTCTCCTCTCCTCTCTCTCTCTCTCTCTCTCCTCTCTCTCTCTCTCCTCCTCTCCTCTCTCTCTCTCTCTCTCTCTCTCTCCCTCTCTCTCTCTCTCTCCTCTCTCTCTCTCTCCTCCTCTCTCTCTCTCTCTCGCTCTCGCTCTCGCTCTCGCTCTCGCTCTCGCTCTCTCGCTCTCTCGCTCTCGCTCTCCCGCTTTCTCTCTCTCGCTCTGCCTACCACGGGTCAAAGCTGATCTGCTGGTATGCAACATCACTGAGAGTAGCTGTGTCTCGGTTGACGAGCTGACCGGGCCGGCTCGGGGTCGCCAGACGCTGGCGGCCCGTGTCGGGCGCCACCCGGCGGCCCTCCCGCGGCGGCCTAGCCCGCCGTCCGCCCAGTCTGCCGCCGCCGCCGCCGCCCGCTCCCGCCGCCGCCGCCGCCGGCCGCCGCGCCCGCCGCCGCCACGCCAGGTGACGAGTTGATGGTGGCCTCCAGGTAAGCACCGTCGCCGGCCGCGCGCGCCGCCCCTCTAACCGCCGCCGCCCGCCGTTTGCAGGTGGAGCCCGAGCAGGTGAGGTGGTGTGCGGGCAGGGGTGGGCTGCCTCCAGGCTGGCGGAGGCGCGGCGAGGGCCTGTCAGGGCTGTGGAGGTCGACGCTGTCGTGTGACGCGGGATGTGGGTGGGCTCCAGGAGTGTCCTGGGAGTGATTCCACCGCCGGATGCGACGTGAATAGAGCCCTGGTGTGCGTCTGGACCCTTGTGGGTGGTTAAGCGGCGTCGCAGGAGGCGGTGATTGTGTTTTGACTGTCTGTGTTGCCGTGTAGCGGCACGTTGGTTTTGGAGTTGGCCGACGTATCAATTGCAGCAGATTCGGAGCCGTGACAATGCCAGCGACAGCTGCCGTGTCCTTGTGTGTCGCCGTGGCGGTGTAATTGGGAAGCCAGGGACATTGGCACCAGAAAGCGGTGTGGGAGGAGGCGGTGACGTGTTGGACTCATGTGCTTGTCCAATCTTCATCAACTTATATTGATGTCAGTGGTGCGAACGTGATGTGTGAAACTTTTTTGTTTTGTTTTTGTTCCGTGTTTTCGGGAAACTGAGGGCGGGCCGTGTTGTAGAGATGCCTTCGGAATGCGAGTAACCTCTTAATTTTCTGTATGGTTTTGTTTAAACAAAGGCCTGTTGAAAATGGGGTCTTTGAGACGGAGCTTCAACCGGATTGTTCTCTGTCCATCAAACTTCTATCAATTGCGCGAGTGGTTTGTGTGATGCAGTGAATCTAAACTCCCAGGCTCCGCACGGTAACTCCTGCCCTGCTAAAACCAGACGATTGCCCCCCAAGATACCTTTTCAGTACTGCAGTGGTCACGTATGCACGTGGCGGTGACATGTGAGAAGTGATCGTGAAAAGTGATTGTAACCCGTCAGCTCAGGCCGGCGTGGTTGCTTTCCCACCTGTTTCCCATCGGACTGGGTTTTCAGCTCGGCTCCGCCGCGCGTGCTGCCGTGCTGTGACGTGTGTGCGGACTGACCGGGCGCGCCAGTGTTGTAGCGTTGGCGGGCCGTCCGATGTTAGGGGTCGCGCGTGACAGCCGGCGGCGACGGTGGCTCCCTCTGAGGTGGGTCCGAAACACAGTCCCCAGCCCCCCTCCGTCTTCCTCTCTCGAGTTCATTGCGGCGTGCTTTCAAAAGGAGCCGGCTGCCAGCCGCGCTGAGCGACCTTTCCTCACATGTAGAGGCGCGTCGGTTCCCGTCTGCTCAAGCTGTTTGAGGCGTGCACTTCTCACTTCATGTAGCCAGCCGATCTCGGGCTAGGCTGTTTTTCATGTTTGTTGTGAAGAGCACAGGTTGAAGCAAACAGGTTGTAATCTCGTCACCCTCGTAGCAACCGTCGCGAGGTAATCTGTCATTTTCAAGACCACGGGTTGAAGCAAACTAACACGTTTCCTAGTCATATTCTGACTTAACGTGGCTGTCGTTAAGTCTTGTGGCACAGTTGCTTGACTGTCAAACTCAAGCCGGTTCGTTCGCCCACTTCCAGTCATCTCGGCTCTCTTGGGGTATTTTAGCTTAATGTCTCATCAACGACCTGAATTCCGACTGCTCAGTGATCTTCCGTTTCAATTGAGACGGACGTGGCACGTAAACTCCCGGAGCCGCGCTGCTCGTGCTTCCGCCCACTCTCACCAACTACTCACCTGACCGAGGCACGCCACTGGGGGTGCCGCCTCAGCCGTATAAATGCACGCTCGCGCGGCGGCCGACCGTCGACGGCTGTGATGCGCCTCACCTTGACCTCGGACGCCCCTGCGCGTATTGGCCTGAGGTCAGTCTGCGGCGGGGGGTGCGCGGCCGCGCTGCCTGGCGTTCGTTTCCAGGAGCTGTCGGGGCGGGCGTCGGAGCCGTGTCCAGGTGACCGCGGGGTGTCGGCTCGCGCGACGTTGACCGGGTGTGGCGGGCGGGGGGCTCGCGCCCGCATCCCGGCACCGCCCCCCGCCTGTACATCAGCGCATTAAAGTCAGGCCTCGAAGCCGCCGTTAACGGGGGTGCGAACCGACGGCGGGGCGCATCCTAGAGCTCAATGATTAGTGGCGGCTTGGTGACGTAGCCAGAGAGGGGCTCCGTGGGTGGCGCGAGCCGGGATGCGGGCGCCCGCCCGGTACGGTGACATCAGACTGGGAGGCTGTTCGACCGATCCCAGGTGGGAGACCAGAGTGCGCCGTCGTCCACGGTGGAGGCTGCGCCGCGGGCGAGCGGGCGTGGCAGCTCGGAGAGCCGGTTGGAGCGCGTGTTTATACATGTGCTTGTTCGAACCGCAGCCCTCCACTGTGTGACCTGTGGGCGGGCTGCCGGTGTTTCGGCCTCGGGGCACCGTTTAGCTCCGCCCTCGGTTTTCCAGTCGCGGGCCTGGCGTGGCCGCTCTCGAGGTAAGCCCGACACCTAGCGGCAGGCGGCGAAGCTCAAGTTTGCCGGGCGGCGGTGGGCGCCGCCTGTGGCCCGGACAACTGAACGGACGGCGGCCGCTGCGGACGGCCGTTTCCCGGTTGGTGCGACAGCGTGACCATGTGTGGGATGTGGCGTGGCTAGCCGGAGCCGCGGCTGCTGCCTGCCTGGCTTGTCATGGCGTTGGTTCGCGATGACGTTTGCTATTGTTGCGCTACGTAGTCCTAGTTCATGTTTCCGAGTCGCAATTCCGTGCGTGCATCAGTTTTCCGTGCGTTTGCACTCTGTGCGCTGTGTGCGTTCACGCAGTCCCAGTGCGTCGTTGCGCATTTTCTGCAGTCATAATCAATTGTAGGTAGAAATACATGGCTGAGACGATATGAGCTGCGTCTTCCTGACTGCACAGAAATGCTCGCTGTGATCTGGCCTGAATCTACACGTCTTCGAGCCGTACAGAACTGTGAACGGCCGACTCCAGCGCTGAGCGCTGGCGCTCTGCATCACGAAGCTTGATGGTCAGTAGGTTGGTGCCTTCACCCACTTAGTTGTTCACTTAGTAGTTCACCCACTTCACCCCTTGTCATCCCGGACGTATTCTCGCAGCCGTGCCCTTGCTCTGAAATGGCTGGTCGCTCGTTGTCAGGCTGCACTTATGTGTCGAAAGGGATTCGACCGAGGGACCTATGTCACCAGCAATAAGGGCGACTCGCGTAGAAACGCGATGATGAAGCAACTGAAGAAAGAAGCCTCGTCACCCAGATTGTTTGCGCTGTGCAGCGTCCACACGGCGCCAGTGGGGATCTGTTTCAGCAGTGCTGGATGTCCATCCATCACACACCGCCGACCCCGGCCGTTTGAATTAAATTGAACCAGTTGTGTCTGGCGCCGTGCCACAAGAGCAGGACCACTGCAAATCTGGAACAGCGGAAGCTCATCAATGAGGATGTATATCGATGGGATGGTACGAGCAGCACGGACCAGGGGGAACGCCAGCGTCCGGTATCAGTCGCAGAACAACGCGGTCTACGTGGACGCTTTGGTGGTGCGTTCGGCCTCTCGATCTCCCAACCCATGCAGATCGGAGATCGGAGATCGGCGGAAAAGATCAGGCTTGGACCAGTGAGGGATGCTCCCTCGGACGGTTTTCAAGGCATGAAAAACGCCTGCATCCTCAGAGCTTCGATCAGCCCCCAATTCCCTGGTGCGCCCTCACTCGCGTCGCAGAAAACGACGCGTCGGCGGCACGAGCGCGCCGACTGCAAGGGGGGGGGGGGGGGGAGAGACCGGCGGCGCACCTGGATCATGTGAGCCTGCGGCACCCACCGGTCGCGCGCCGCCCGGAACTGACCGCGCCGTCGGAGACAGCAGTTTCGGAAAATATTCCACTGTCGCTATCAACGCCGCGCTGGAAGGACATCACGGAACGTATATGGTGTGCGCTGGCTCAATGTCACCGCTGTCCTCAAGACGCCACGCCACGCCTAGTCATTGCTGGCAGCAGTTTTTCATCGCAGGTGCAGGCGGAGAGTGGTAGTGGGTGGGCGGGGCCCTTGATGTTTCGTGGAGTCGCAGAACAACGCGGTCACAACCGTTTCATGTTATATATGCAGGTATGGCAAGACTCTGAAAACTGAACACTACGCTCCCTAACTCGCGTCTAACATGGCCTGTGCCGTCACAAGGTGTGCGAATGCTGTTCAGCGAGACTGCCCTCTTGTTCTGTCCCGCTCAGACCGAGGCCCGGGACTGTTATGTGTAATGGAACCAATGAAATTGCCACCATCGCGAAGACATGTTCCTTTTGGAGTGTTTCGAACACTACTTGTCAGCAAAATACTTTGTTCCGTTGTTCCCCGTCTCCCAGAATGCCGTATTTCAGACGGATTTGAGGCGGAGAGACGTGTTTGATTTATTGTAGACCACACTCACGTTTGGTGATCATTTTGCTGTAATCAATGGTTACAACACTCTGCAATATTTTGAAACAATTTTGAATACTGAATTCCTGAGTTTTAGCACTTTCCAAGGTCGGTGATGACCTTGTTTCGTTTCTTTACGCCCTTCTCATTCAATGCTAGGTTTATCTTCATGTGCACATGCAGTCTGGGCGTCCTGCAAGGCAAAAACCGTGTTCAGTAATGTGCTGCACCCCGTGCTCCGTTCATAAATACAAGTGTGAGGGCGGCCAATTCCGTATGAGACACACAGGTACTTCACTGCTCAGGGTGGAGGCTGGGGTTGAGATGAGAAATACAACAATATTGGGAGGAATCCGTGGGACGGTTCTTCCTCTGCTACAACCGCCTGACACGATTTGGGTTACAATACGCCCTGCCGGACCTTCCTCTGCTGCACCCGACACGATTTGGGTTACAATACGCCCTGCCGGACATCTCGTCTACTATCCCAGTATGTATCTTGGCTTCAACATGAGTTGACTTTAATACAGTTATAATTTAACTATGATTCGTCCATTCCTGCCCTATGCTGAGTCGCTATTCCTCCCACTGGCCCCTACAAGTTAAACTCTGGCATTCTGTTCTAGGATCCTGATGCCGGCTTTGCCTAGCGCGATATCTTCCGTTAATGTCTTTACGAGAAACTTGTGACGAATGTGCCGAGTCGCACCCTCCATAAAGTCTCATGAATACCGTTCCTGCTCATCAGAACCTGTTTGGCGGACTGCCCGCCCTGAAGGGTAAGATGCTCCGTCCTCTCTCCACGCAGTTACCAAGGTCAGCAGACGGCATGCACATAGGAGTGCGGTACACAGGGACGACTTGGCCTGACACTGATTAGCGTTAGTTCATCAAGATCGTCCCTCTCGGTTAATCTCCATTTGCCGGGAACATCGCGAAAATCCACAGTTATTAGTGGATAATTTAGGAATCACCCCTCCCTGAAATGCGCAAAATGCACATTCTAAATCCTTTTGTGGCACTTAATTACTATTTGACACTCGAGCCCCATGTACATATGACGTCATTTACTGGAAGTGCACCCACACATCCGTCCCTCTTATCCTCTTTCTTGCTTCATCCCGCATCTTCGTGACACCCCGCTTGTCCGGGGCAGACTGCGTGCTTTAGCCACGAGTGGGCCGAGAGCCCCGTGAGGAGGAGGCCCCGAGCGGGTACCCAGCGCGCATGCGCGGGTTTAAGCCCGGCGGTTGGCCCTCCAGGCGCATACTAGTCTGTCCCACCGTTGACCATTTTTCTTCATCCCATAGCTCTGAAATGATTATTTCTGGCCGAAAGGGCTATAATCCCAAAAAGCAAATGGAAGTGCATCCCATTCAATACACTGTATCGTGGTCAGTCGCACAATATTAGAGCCAGAGTGATAGACTGTGAAGAGAGAGAGAGAGAGAGAGAGAGAGAGAGAGGAGAAGAGAGGAGAGAGAGAGAGAGAGAGAGAGAGAGAGAGAGAATAGAATGAGAGAGAGAGAGGAGAGAGAGAGAGAGAGAGAGAGAGAGAGAGAGAGAGAGAGAGAGAGAGGGAGAGAGAGAGAGAGAGAATATAGATTGTACGCATCCGCATTTACTGCATTTGGTTCCAGTATAGTGACTTCTTGGTATCTGATAAATTTCGCCTATCAATACCCTGGCTTTGCAATTTGCTGTCCTACATGCATATATAAAGCCCGTAGTCTTGCATACTATCAATGCTTTGATGCATCCGTAGCAACAGGCCTTAGCTGAATTAGTTAAATCTGGTTTCGAGCTGGTTGGGTGTTGCGATGGTGTGTGTGTGTGTGTCATTGGGGCTTTACGACGCGCTCAGCTGCTGAGGCTATATGGCGTCGCCTGCCCCTCAACCTGGCAGGAGGGGCGGACACCGCGGGGAATCGAACCCCGTACATCTGGTTTCCCAGACGCGCAGCGGTTAACGCAGACGCGCCTGCCACTACGCTACAGGCGTCCCTGGGTGTTGAGATGAAACCTTTATAAATTTCTAGCCTTCAGTTATTTTTTGGGTGCGCCTTTTCTCTTCCTTAAACGAGATGAGTTTAAAGACTAGTTTTCGTACCAGACGTGTCGAACTGTCGGTCAGTTATCAAGGACACCACCCGCGTGGTAAGGACACCACCCACGAGGTAAGGACACCACCCGCGTGGTAAGGACACCACCCGCGTGGTAAGGACACCACCCGCGTGGCAAGGACACCACCCGCGTGGTAAGGACACCACCCACGTGGTATGGACACCACCCGCGTGGTAAGGACACCACCCGCGTGGTAAGGACACCACTCGCGTGGTGACATCCGGCCGTCCAGACCCACAACGAAATTTACGATTTCTGAAAATTACCTCATCCCGTTCCCTCGTGTCTTCGTCCAGCTGTTTAAACAGTTTTGACTAGGTCTCCGTCAGAGCAAAAGTATGCTGGATGTTGTAAAAACTGCACGAAAATCAGTTCCAAGTTCCTGGGATTGGATTTCTGAATCGTTTCTGATAAAAAAGTAAACCATATTGTATTGACAGCAATGTCATTTGTCTGCGTTTCACTCACATCAACACGACTTTATCCAGTTGTGTCATTGTTGCATGTAGCGATGTAATATCAGTGAGTTGCGAGGTTCCCACCTTTTCTGCAACTGAGCTTTCGCTATATTCGCGCAACATGAGAGACATTTTTGAATGACGTGTGTGCTTGGTGCCCCTGCTTTTAATTCTAATGCTCTCGCAGAGCTAGGGAAACGTTTCATTTGGTGACGCTATTCCACTCTTCAAACATCCTGGTAACCGAGTGCCGGTAGTTGCGGATGAAAAGTCAGATTTGCAATACGGGTGGATTCAGTTCTATTCTCTAGTCGCCATTGTTTATGGCTTATACGAAGCAAGGGTCGTATTCCACTACCGGTGGCGAAGATTTCACATTTGGCGCAACGGGACTCAAGTTTTTTGACAGTTGTGGAATACTCAAAAGAATTACTCCATTAGGCCATCCACCATCACTTGGCTGTAATAATAAGTAACACTTCATTCAACAAGGGTAATGAGAACTAACTGTTTCGCAGCCAGATTGAGAATGCATGCTACGTGAGACAATAAAGCGTGTTTTTCTGGTTCTGTCAGACTTTGCGTACGCATTGTAGATGGGGCAGCTTTGTGGATTGAAACAAGACATCGCCCAGGGTAGCTGTTGCAACACCGAGGTAAAATGCATATGTGGTGATGTGCCTTCCATTCCGGGTTGCGCGGTGCATCGCGGCGGAGACGAGGCTTTCTTGCCCACATGAGTAAGTACTTATTTCCTATTCCGCCTTAGGGTAATGGTCGTTGCTCCGTGAATGGTTCGCGTAAATTTGCAAGCACTCGAAACCTACGCGTGGGGCGGAGTGTTTCAAGCTTTCTTTGTATTTATCACATAAACATTTTGACACATTAGTGTTTAGCAAACATTACAGAACACACGCACTGGAAAATGCAAGGCAAATGAAACGTATTACTTCCATAGCGGCGTGCAGGAAGCCAAAGAAGATTTCGCCCGCAGGCCCGGCTACTTCAAATCGAAATTCTGAGCTAATCAAGATTCCGAGAAAACCGATATTAGTGACCAAATCGCATGCGTTTCATGTAACAATAAGTAAAAAGCACAGGCGAAGGAATTTCAAAAGGTGGGGGTGAGCCAAGCTCAGGGCGTACCTCAGGAACTTTTTCTGGAAAACAAGCCCGACGACAGGGGGAAGGGTGGGGTGGGTGGGGGGGGGGGGGGGGGGGGGGAATGGAGGTTATTGCTCCTTTTGTAATGACTGCTATTCTAGATATGCATCTAGAGCTGTTTCTCACTGGTGCACACTCTTGCCTATCCAACTCATCTATGTCATTCGAGAAATAAGGCTTTCCAGCTACTCAAGGTAATTCGTCCATTTCAACGTTGTCTGTCCTGGGAAGCCGAAATTCCACGAGCGGGTAGGCATTTTGGGTCACTGAGGAGGCGTCTGCCTCCACAGGGTAGATGCCAAAATATGGCCTGAGCATAGGCTGGTGAGAATTTTGAAAGTGAATGGATGGCTCACAGTACAACAGGTTTTGCGTGCGCGTTCATTTCGCTGGCTGTTTTTCAAGAGATAAGACTTGTCACGGCATTTTAGACGAAAACAAATTCGGAAGCTTGAAACTTCCACAAACCATGTGACAAAAGCCATAGAACTGGAGATTCTCCTTTGAAATTCAATCCACAGGATGAAGGCCCTTCTGTCATATATTCCTTGTCTGAGCTCTGCTCCCGTCCCCCGTCGGTGGCCACTGTCCTGGCCCGGCTGTCTACGAATGGCTGACCGCGAAGTGATGGTATGGCTGTTTTGTTGCACACTTCTGGGTCAGCATTCCTTCTAATTAGGATGTAAAACATGTGTTGGACATCTACAACAGTATCTTTTTCCGAATTATCTTCCTTAACGCAACCCTACCCCAGATTATGCCACCGGAAAGCTGTCTACTTTAGGTATGAATTGGCCAAACGGATATTTAATCGCCCATCATTCAACGTAGATGACTTGATCTGTTTCTCTGTGTAGGCCGGGGGTAGCCAGAGCCTTGCTAAGAGGAACACAGGGTTGACAAAAGCCCCGTGTATGGTGACCCCCCACAAAAAGATATCCCCGGATGTAGTTTGCTTGTTAACAAGGGATACGGTTTTCTTCGTTTCATTGTATTTTTACGCTGCAACCAGAACAGAAACCAGCAGCTACCGTGAAATCAATTCTGTTCACATTTTTAACACGCGCCCGGGTGGCCGGCTAGATACCCTTCGCTCGGGTGAGGACCCACTGACCCACTGAGATCTCGGGAACTAGGGGAGCTGAAGACACCAAATTCATAGGGTGTGTTGACCTGTACGTGAACTTTCTTATGTCAAAGTTTGAAGTTCCTAGGTCATGACTTTCAAGTCAAATAAAATTAAACAAGGTCAGATTCCAGGTTGGTCTCTAAAGTGCACCCTGAACCTAGATAACTGTTTGTAGACAAAAGGTCACATGTTCATTTAAGGTCAGTGACCTTGCTTGACTTTTTGAAGGTCATAGTGACCAAAGTCATACAAGACTGCTCTGAGTTTTGCATTTGAATAAGCGACAAAGGTTACACTAGTCAGTACTTTTCTAAAAACAAAATGTTGACCTAGATCATTCTGGGTCAATGACCTATTCTGACCTCTAAGCAGGCCATGGAATACGCATAATGCGGTTTCTGCTATCAATAAATTCGAAATGAGCACCAGGAACTATCACATACAGCAAGCCCTAGAGTAATAAAACAGGTTGGTTTTGACCTTGTTCTGATCTCTACACCTCACCTTAGGTCAACGTAATTTGTTCATGCAATATTTGTATTGCCTAAGACGGCATCTCATAGATGTATGGCTTCGTCTGATACTCCAGTGATGCATCAGATTGAACGATTCACTAGAAGTTGACTTTGCTGAAACTATGGCCTGACTTTGATCTGCCATAGGCCAGCGACCTTAAAAAGTACATCTTAATTGTGTTATGCTAAACGATCCTCTATTCGATTTTCTACAGCTATGCAAAACATGGCGCGCCTGCGCCGCGCCGTTCGGAAACCTTGCTGGAAAACCCTTCGGGAGCGAGTCAATTTGACCCCCCACCCGAGCGCGTGTCAAGGTCAATAAACTGCAGAAATCAGGCGTTTAAGGACCGCATGGAATAAGTCACCGGTGTCCTTAATTTGCCATGGCTTATCAGACTCTTTCTAAACCGATAGAACTCAGGCGCTTTGTCATACACCGGTGGACGAAAATGATAACGGTTCCTAAATAATTACCTTTAAACACTTGAATCGGCTAGTAATACAAAAAATGTGACATAATTTTGAGCGTGCGTACTCGCAAATCTTAGTTTAAAAAACCTCGACGCCAGGCGTCGCAGTCTCCGTAGGCCGCGCAGCGCTGGTTCAACAACTAATACTGAGCCTTGGCCAGCGTGTGGACCAAAATGATGACGCTTCTAAAGGAGGTACTTTTGAATGCTCTAGGACATCAAATCTTACATCTGCAAGGCAGTCTGGACGCATATTTTACGTGTGGGATTTTTAGACTGATGATAAGAACAGATTGGCCCTTAGAGCACCGCGAAGTGGTACTGGAATCTGATGGTGGAATTGGAAGAGCAAAGGCAGATCCTCTATTTTTCGTGTTTCTGTAACTATCGATCTGTCCAGAAGGCAGATTAACACGGCACCCGCCGCCTGGTGTCACTTGCAGTGGCCGACGCCGTCCAGTTTACGGACGCTGCAACCCAGACCATAGCTGTACTTGCTCTCGAGGCTGCGGGCGGGCATGTTCAAACCTTTTAATACACTTTTCACAAATCCATGCTGAAAAATGAGCGTTTTTGGCAAACATGGGATGGCCTTACTTGTTTTTAAAAATTTATTTAGACCTATTCTATTCAACAATAATGAGACCGCCACTCTACTCAACAACAATGAGGCCCCTTATTTCCTTCCGGGCAAGAGGCCCCTTGAGTAGAACACCAGGGGCACATTACCGGTTCCGTTCAAGAGCTGAGGGGCCACTTGCTTGTCTCATCGCGAAGCGTCTTCTGGCTCTCATTCTGGCGACACGGGGCGGGATCTCCTGGTCGATCCGGAAGACATTATAAGGATATATGATGTCACATTGTTCCCACCCCCCCTGATACGGGAGGCCTTCTGACCTGCGCAGTTGGCCCCGGATCAGCACAGAAACCCTCATTGACGCAATAACATCCCTGATCGCCAAAGGTGGTCCAATAATTGTCGCACAGGCTCCAGTTCCGTGCTTTTCTATTTTTTTTTTTAGAAATGCCTGAACATAGATTGTAGATGAAATGGGGTCCTAAGCTTGTATTAACATGGCTGATCCATGTTCGTTCTAAAATGTTCAGGATTCAGTCAAAATTGATCACTGATAAAAAACTATGTAATATGGTTTTGAACATACGCGCTCGCAGTCAACGGCCCAAACACCCGGCGTTGCAGTCTCCATAGGCCGCGTGGCGTCGGCCTGCTGGGATATTTGGCGATGGCCAATAAGCATACGAAAAAGGTGACCCATCTTGAGGAACATGGATGGTGAGCTAGTTAAATCGGCATGTATATTTAAATGTGGGGCAAAAGTGAGCTAAAAACAACATTAATCTGAAAAGTGTGGGGGGGGGGGGGCAGTTAACACTGCTGGCCTCCCACCCTGAAAAGTGGGGAGGGGCATGCCCCACATCCCCCCCCCCCCTCCTGTTCCTACGCCCATGGTGGAAAGTGCAAAAGGGTGGGATGCTCCCTTTGATGCGCAATCATACAAGTACATCTCATGACGCGCAGTACCTTACAATGGCGTGCCTCCGAACATTGCATTGGTCAACGCTCTGCTCCCGGGACACCCTCTGTGTGTTACGCGCTCCGGGTGTCATGGGCCCCGGGTGTCACGGGCTGCGGTTGTCACGCGCCGCGAGTGCCACGAGCTCCGAGCGTCACGCGCTCCGGGTGTCACATGATCCGGGTGTCGCACGCTCCGGGTGTCATGGTCCCCAGGTGTCACG